GGGACAGTGCAAGAAAGACCCTCAATGAGATGGACTGATTCAGTGACTGGAGTAATGGAGGTAGGTGTGTCAGAGACAGTAAGATTGGCACAGGCTAGAGCAGGGTTTAGCGCTGTTTACACAAGGTTGCTATGAATCACAGGTGACTCAGCAGCACGTAACAATAACAACAATAATCCACTTCTAGGAATAGAGTCTGAGAAAATTAGAACTAAGACACAAACAGAGATTTGTACACCAACGATCACAGCAGCATTATTCAGCATTGCAAGAACATCGAAACTGACCAAATGTTCAACCACAACCAAATGGACTAAGAAATTGTGGGGGAAAAAAACAACTAAAGACAAAAATAAAACAAAACGAAAAAAGAAACTGTGGAACATTCACATGACTGAATACTACGCAGCACTCAGAAGGAACGATTTTGAAAATTACTATATAACTTGGGAGGGACTGGAGAGCATTACGCTAAGTGAATTAACTCAGTCTTATAAGGACAAATATCACACAAGACCATAAGACCATTATTGTAGAAACAGATAAACAGTGAAATGTGTATGTGAATCCATGTGGGGGAAGGGAGAAGTGGAGGGATGATGATGGGGGGCGGGGGATCATAGGGTCGCACAATTTAGTGGGTGGAGAGGAGGGGCTAAAGGAAACAGAAAGATCCAGAGGCGATCTGGAAAGGCAGAGTAATGGTGGGCACAGTTAATTCAATGGTGATTAAGTTTCTAAATCATAATGAATGGGAATGACTGTATGAAACGCAATGTGAATGAAGGATAAAGTGAAAAACAAAGTATATGACCTTTGTAAGGAGACCAATACAAAATAAAAAATTTAAAAAAAAAAAGACGACTGTCTTAGAAACACTACAGGGCAATTGCACTCCGCCCCACAGTGTGGCCAGGAGTTGACATTGACTCGACAGAGGAAGGTGTGAGTTTTCTTAATCTTCACAGGGATTGTCAGGTTTTCCTCAAGCAGAGCGGGAGGTGTGTTCAAACCACTGCTTGGTCGCTGTGTCTCCTACAGCCAACACCAAGCCCACTGCCACTGAGCTGATTTCTCCTCAAAGCAAACCTCTAACCAGGAGTTTGAAGCTGTAAATCTTTAAAAGGGAGCTGACAGCCTCTGCGGTAAGAAGCTGCACCGCAAACCCAAAGACACTATTCAAATCCACCAGCTGCTCTTTCAGAGAATGATCAGCCTCCTCCCGTGCAATATACTTCCTCAAGAGAACCTGCTGGAAGGTCAGCGATGAGGTGGTGCCAACTCAACAGCACACAACCACAACTCTTAAAAGGAGCCAACAGTCTCATCCTTCTCCCCCAGAGAAAGATCTCTAACTGATCTTTTAGTTATCAGCCCAATAAATAACGCACTGTGTCACCAGTTCCTTACAGACCTATAGAAAACTGTCAGGCTACTTCCTCCACCAGGTTCCAAGGCTATAAATTCTAATCAGAGGAGATTGTCCTTTCCTCATGGAGCAGCTGGTGGATTTGAACCAGTGACCTTTCACAACACGTAATTAATACGCTATAGTACTAGAACACCTGCCAGTACTCAACAAACAATTAAGTTCTAGAAGGCACGCAGGAACTTCCCTTCACAGCTAAAGCAGTTAAAACTGTTCGCCTTATGCCAACAAATGTCTCCCTCCAGGAAAGGTTTGCATTGTAGAAACAAAGTCCACAATCAAAGCTGCAATCTGTCTAGTCCCAACTTTTATTTTATAGATGTAACTGAAGCTCATAAATGGAACAGCAACTGAACTGACAAGGCTGCACAGCGAGTTTCCCAGCTCCGGCGGAGGCAGGAAAGTCAGGGATTTTGAACCTCATACTTCTGTAGATGGTGTGTCACAGTGAGGACAGCCAAGAGCCCCAGTGCACAGCCATGCCCTAAGAGTGTTTTCTGAATTCATTCTGCAAGGTGTGCTGAGCTCCCATCTGTGCTTACCCCCCGAGAACAGAGGTGAGCAAGCACTGCCCTGTGGCCTACAAAATATCGAGGGGACGGACTGCAAGGGTCACAGTGTTGATGCTGGTGTCAGCCAGAGGGACGCATGGCCTTAAAAATATCATGGGGACAGACTGCAAGGGTCATGGTGTTGATGCTGGTGTCAGCCAGAGGGACGCATGGCCTTAAAAATATCATGGGGACAGACTGCAAGGGTCACAGTGGTGGTGGTGTTGCTTTGTGCTTCTGAGTCAGAACCAATTCACAGTTGACTCTCCAGTGGGTTTCCAGAGGCTGTAAATCACATGGGAAGAGACTGCTCATCCTCCTCCTGAGAAACAGCTGCTGGTGGATTCGAACTACCTGCCTTTGGGCTGTCAATGTCATTCCATAACCACTAGGCCAACAGAGTTCCAAAGTGTTAGAGAAACTGGAACAAACACATGGACGGAAAAGTCAGGAAAGAAAATACCTGAGGGAGCTCTGGGGGCCTAGTGGCAAGAAGCTGTGCTGCAACCCCAAGGGTGCAGGGTTTGAATCCACCAGATGCTCCACTGGAGAAGGAGGGGTAATCTCTTCCTGTACCAGTCGGATCCAATTCGACGGTACACATCAAGGAAAAAAAAAGAGGGGGAGGGGAGAAAAAGAATGAGTAAGGAAAAAAAATTAATAAATAAAATGCCTGGCGGCCTGAGAGGTGCCTCCAGGAGAGAGATGGGAAGCAGCTCTTTTTAAAGGGAAGGAAGGGGCTCAAGAGATGGACAAGCAGGTATTCCTGCAGGTGAGCACAAAAGGGACAGGATGTTAAAAGAAGATAAAAGACCTTACAAGCGTATGGTTTCCTCTCTGAACCACTGCTATGAAGCACATAAGCAAGTCACACGTCTTTTTTGTTTGTTTCGCAGTGCATACAAAAATGTTTATACTGTGCTATATTGTCTCTTTAAAAAAAAAAAGGAATGCTTCACAAATTTGCCTGTCATCCTTGCACAGGGGCCAGGCTGATCTTTTGTGCATCATTCCGATTTTAGTATAGATACTGCCGAAGCAAGCACACTATATAGGCTCTTAATTTAAGAAAAACTTTCCTAGTGGCAAGACACTGCACTGTAATCCCAGAGGTACGCGGTTCAAATCCACCAGATGCTTTGCTGGAGAAGGAGGGGGCTATCTCCTCCTGTACTAGTCAGATCTGATTTGACGGTACATGTAAAAATAATACAATAAAAATAAAAAAATAAAAGAAAAGCTTTAAAATGGTGCATCCAAAATATGAGAGACAGGAAGAGAAGGTGCACTGTCATAAAAATGGCACCAACAGACTTGCTTGGCCCAGGATTGCCAGAGGACTTCAATTTCTGTGGGTTTTGTTGGATGTTTGAGGGTGTTTTTAAAGTATCTGTAAAAACGAAGTAAAACTCTAGTGAGAGACTGGTGGCCCACGAAGGAGAGAATTCCTGCCTAAATGAAAGTCTGGGGATTATCTGTGGCTTTCAAGTTGCTTTCTTGGTTTTCGGGCCCAACAAGTATGGATGGCTGGTTCCTGGGTGACAGAGAAATAGCTTGTCACACGGCTTCAAGCCAGACAGGCAGCTCTACTCCAAGTTCAGCTCACTCACTCTGAGACCCTGAAGAGCGGCTGTGTTCTCCAGCTGCAAAGTGGAAATGGTTCTCCTCCCTCGTGGGGTCATCATGAGGATATTAGGATAATATTAATTATTATTATTATTAGGGTAACAGAAAAGGTGTTTACAACAGAATCGGGCATGCTCATGGCACTGTGACTGTCTATGTACAGTTCTCTTTCCAATATTACGATATGTACATAAAACAGTACTACGTTCCTGGCTTAACTGATTATTTATGTAATTATTGCACCTCGTACAAGGCCTGGTTTATTTTTCAACTTATTCTTCTTACCAAAATCATTCCGTTTCATTATCTTTACAAAAGCTCTGTGACAACAGCAGTGGGATTACTGTCATTCCCAGTTTTCGAAAGAGGAGAAAACCAGGCACCAAGGGGTTAATGCAGCCACAGCCACAAAGCAGAACTGGCATTCTGCTATGTAATTTTCAGCATGAAAATAGATCACTGCTCAGAAAGGTGCACTTCTCATCGTTCTGGGCATTTAACCATTGCTAGGCTCCTCTCCATTAAAGTAACAACATTATTTTATTCAGCCTTAAAATGTCAGGGGGCCACTCCAGTGTTCAACAATACACAAAATGGATAAGGGATGGGTGGAGGGATGAGCAGGTGAGTTGGATGCATGGATTCTCGGGAATCCCACTCAAGAAGCAAGAGTCTGCATGACCACCAGGGGAATACTTGTTCTTCAAACGCCAGGTAGGAGCTGTCTCTCGTGGTTCAAGGAGCAGGGGAGGGCATATTCCACCCGTGCAATCACAAAAGCGTATGTCTGTCTCTGTCTCTCTTACAGAGTTAGAAAATCAAGATTGCATCTGAGAATTTTAAGGCTAGAAAGTTCCTTAGACAGGATCTAAGATGGAAAGGAGATTCTCCCGCCTGCATGATTAGCTCTGGCTACCGATCTGATCAATGGGGTGGAAACACAATCAATGTCCGAGAGCTACCTCGGGTGATGCGTGGGGGTGTGCCTGCCTCCTGGCCCCAAGCTGAACCCCTCCTTTTACAGATGAGAAAACCGAGACCGGGAAAGAGGAGGACTTCACCTCAATCAGCCAGTGACCTCCCACCCCTCCTAGTGTGGTCCAATAATGGGAAAATTCCTTCCGCCTCTCAAAGCAAGCAGTCCTCAGAGCGTGAGAGCACAAATCCCCAGAAGAAGCCCCAAACCTTAAAGCCCTGACTTGTCCCCACAATAAATCTCTGCACAGCCGCTGGAATGTGTGCCCAGCCACCATCTGAGGTGCTACCCTTTCAGTCCTGTGCAAATGACAGGTGGCCCAAAGGCACTAGCTCTAAGAAAAGCTAGAGAGCTTCTGAGCATCCCTCCAGCTCCCGTCCCACCCGTGCGGGCCGCCAGTCCCGGTGGGTTCCTTTACCTGTTCCTTATTGTTATTGTTCAGTAAGCCGGGTTTCTTTTTCTTTTTAATGGGGCTTGTTGACGTGTCCTGCGGCGAATGGCCATTGGAGGAATGTGGAGGGCTGGGGAACTTTCTTTTCTGGGCTGTTCTCTCTGTAGAGCTGGGATCTGTAAGAGACACAGGACCATATATTTTTAGAGCCGTCAGAGAAGTTGAGATTGGGTGAGGGCAAAAACGAGGGATGTGTGGAGTGAGCAAAGTGTGGCACCCAATTCCACATCTTGTGTGCCTCGTCCAGTATACAGCCATCACCTCCTCATCACTTGGCTCAGAGACCAGACAGCTGTGCTTTGGCGTATGTAACACCTTTTGTAAAACCGTAACTAGTTGCCAAGATGTAAAAAGTAAAAAATTGGAAGACTTCACATAATCTGAATTTCCAGCTCTCTTTTAAAAAAAAAATCCAGGCCCACGGAGCCGAGTAACAGTCACCCACCTTTTGATGGGAAAGTGCTCTCCATTTGCCACAATGCTCACTCTTCTCTATTGTCCCTCCCAATGATGCTATACCACAGCTACTTCAGCTGTCACACGGGCACTGGTATCGTTTTAATCCCAAAGAAATATTTCTTCCTTTGTGTATCTGTCAGAATACCCTGAAACACTTGAGGTAGATGATAAGAAAATGGAAACCAAAGTAACAATTATGCAGATTTACAAGCTAACAAAGTTTAACTCATTAGAAGCCAGCATCCCCCTAGCCTGCCAAAAGTTGTGGTCCAGTCACCAGCAGACCTTATTGTGGTTGAGATTTTCTTCCAAAGAGGTCAACACAAATTCCCTCCTGGCCAATTTTTCCCTGAAAAGGTTAGCCCCATCTCTGCCATCCCGTCCCTTCTATTTCATTCTCCCCGCATCTCACTTAAATACACAGCTGCCCACAACCGCCGAGCCTTCAAGGACAGGCACCCACTATATGCCAGCCGCATGGCGACTCTGTTAGTTTAGGGGAAACGACACGCTGCTACCGCTGCTGCAGGTGGTGTCCTGAGTCACAGGCCACACAGTTCCCAGAAGAGGGAAAATGAGGACAGAAGTTAGGAAGACGGCAGGATGGGATGCAGCTGTCCGTCCCTTCCCCCACCACCCCACGGCCTGGCAAGCTCCTCCTCCAGTTCAACATTCAAGGCTAGCTCTCACACGCAGGATGGCGTGGGCATCCCCTTCTGCCATGTCTGGACAGGGAGAGCTGAAGTCAGAACAACCGTGTTCCAACTGGTTACACCAAGGTGGCTATAACAAGCTGCCCAGCCACGCTGACTATCAAAGATTATTACCACCAGGCGGATCCCAACGTGGCAGACAGAGCAGAACTGTCCAGGAGGATTCCTTGGCTGTGACCTTCGCAGCACAGGATGACCAGGTCTTTCTTCTCTGATACCATTGAAGGATTCAAGCTTTCAGATTAGCAATCTAGTGCAGGCCATCTGCACCAACCAGGAAGCCCAAGGGCCCTCCGTGTGGTTGACTTTGGTTAAAAGGGAGAAGCATCTTCCACAGACTCATAAAGCAAGACGATGAACCGAGTGCCTCCGCATTCAGTCCACACAAGGAACGTTTCACACTCCGCAGGCAGGCTTCGCTAAAACCCTGAATACTTTTTTCAGTTCCATACCAAGACACCGGTACCTGATGATAGCACAGTGGTTAAGTGCATGGCTGCTCGTCCAAAGGTCAGTGGTTCAAACCCACCAGTCACTCTATTCCCGTAACAATTACAACTGTGGAATCCCTGTGAGGCAATTCTACTGTTACATGGGGCTGCTGTGAGTCAGAATGAACTGCAGGCTGACAACATGCTGAGACACAGCCCCGGGAGGAAATTAAATGCTAACCACAGGCATCCTGGGGGTGAACAGACCCCCCCAAAGAGTTCTGGAGATGATCCTACAGACATCAAAATGGAGGCCCCGAGGGCCCAGGTGGCTGGCCCAAAGGCACACAGCAGCTAATTAGTGAGAAAATTCACTAAAAAGATGAAGAGTGTGTAACACCCTCCATCCCCCAAAGAAAACTGCCCTATCCGTTCTGGTGAGGTCCTCACCCCTCTCCACAGACACATACAAAAACTCTCATTTTCTCCATGTAGCTTGTGACCCAACAACCCCATTCTACCAACAAAGCCTTACAGGTACAGGTACAGGTACAGGTCAGGTGAGCAGGGCTGGGCCCTTCAACCGGAGCACCATGTGTGGTACTGAGGACGGAGACCATCTAACGTTTGCTGATGAGTCAATCCCAATGCGTGGAGACCGTACGAGTCAGGACAGAACCAGGCTTGCTCCATAAGAACCAGGCTTGCTCCATAAGAACCAGGCTTGCTCCATAAGAACCAGGCTTGCTCCATAAGAACCAGGCTTGCT